ATATATGGTTGTGACTATTTTCTTCCACTATTTTATCTGAGGAAGTGGGTCTGGCCCACGAAAGCTCATCATCTAATAAACCATCTTGTTAGTCTTTAAAGTGCTACATTGTCCTGCATTTTGCTTCAGTCCTATTCCAGGCACTTCCTGTTTTCCTGGCACAATCAAACCCCGACCTTGCTTTAAGTTAAGAGAAGAGGAAGCTGCATTCCAAATTTGATGGTCCTAGTTCTTAGAGCTTAGAAGGAGCTCTTGAACAAACAGACTCGCAGACAAACAGACGCACTTTAAAAAAATATACCTAGCTTTAGAAGTCCCAGTGGTGCTTCTTTGGCATTTCCTTTGTTTGCTAAAGCCTACTTTCATTCAGTTTCAACATGAAGCCCTGATGTGGGTTTTTAAGCAGTCAGAATGGCCTCCTCAAAACCACAAAGCATGAATTCTGCAACTCGAACGGAGTGCCGGGATACATGAACTGGCAGCAGTTTGAGGCAATGCAAGAATGTGCTAGCCAATGTAAGGATGTTAAGGACTAGTCGACTATCCGATAAGCATTCACTTATCGGACAGTTAGTCTACTAGTCCATTACTCGATTCCCTCCCCCCCTTGCTACCTCTATCAGATAGAGAAGAAGGGGTACTTCAAAGCGGCAGTGCCATGGCTCAGCTGTGCGGGGCTGCCCCTTTAAAACACCAAAGCGCCGTTGAGCCTGGGGTCAGCTGGGGGCTCCCCAGCTAACCCTGGGATCTGAGAGGCATTTCCTCAGAAATGCTGCGGGGGAACCTGGGGTCAGTTTCCCAGGCTCCATGCGGCTTGCAGCACACCATGGAGCCCGGGGTTGGCAGTGGACTCAGTCTCCCGCTGACCTCTGGATCCATGGCTTTGAAATGCCTAAGAGCTCCCGCTGAGGACTCTTGTACATTTCAAAGCAGGCACCTGCAGGCAGCCCAGAGTCAGCTGGACTTCTTGCTGGCCCTGGGCTACACACGAAGTTCTTCATTCCTCAGGGCTCTTGTACATTTCAAAGGAGGAATGCGGAAGTGCCTATCAAAATTCCATCGACTACTCGACTAATCAATTAACTACAAATTAACATGCTTAGACCAATGAACAACAAAGTTCTTTGTACAGGATAACAGTAACACAACAGCCAATCTGGAAGCTGTCACCTTTAGCCCCTCTGTCCTCTGTGTGTGAAAAATGGGGACAAAAGACCAGGGACAATAGGCAGGAACAAGAGAAGCCAAGTGCGATGTCATTGTATTTGAGGGATAAGATTTTCAAATCAGAGATAGAGACTCATGCCCTCCCAAAAGCCCCTCATCCAGCTCAGAATCTAACAGATCTTCTTGAATTTGCATGGAAAGCTTCCCCGCCTCTGAGGGGCTTTCAGAAGAATAAGTGTCTCTCTCTTTTTCTGGGCTTGGGATAAGATTGTCAAATCTCCCAACTTCTCTGTTTGAAGTTTAGCTGTAAATACAGTCTCTTCTACTGGGGAGAAAAACGATATTTGTCCAAGCACATTTTGCAGGGAGAGAGGGGGGACGCTCCACCTCCTTCAATTTGTGGTTCAGAAGATCAGGGTTTCTCTGAGCTTTGCTTGGGGCAGAGAATGGTGTCTCTCCTCTGCTTAGGTCCATTTTGTTTCATTTTGTTTTTATGGGGAGGGAAAAGATCATGGTGAATTCTCCCTACGTATCTTTTTGTAATGTTAGAAGAAAGAAGTAGTGACCATAAATCTGCCCCTTTACCCACAAACACTTTCAACACAGACTATAACCTGCCGAATAGGGATGTTAAATTTAGATTAATGGGCTAATCGAATAGTTGATGCACTGACTAGTTGATTAATCAATAAGGGCACCTTCCCCTTTGAAGTGTAGCAACAGCTGCAGGGCTGTTGCCCCACTTCAAAGGCAAAAGTGCTGCGGGAGCCCGGGGTCAGTGGGCTACTCAAGCAGTTCCCCACTGGTCCCATGCTCCCTGCAGCATTTCAAAATACCAGCACCACTTGGAGCTCAGGGTCAGCAGGAGACTCCCCAGCAGGCCCCGGACTGCACGCGGCGCTGCTGTTTTGAAGCACCCCCACCTTTTCCCTCACCCCTTGCTGCCTCTTTCTGATAAGAAGCAACTAGTTGACTATCCTGTCAACTATTCAATAAGTATTTGCTTGTGGATTAATTGTTGACATCCCTACTGCCGAATGTATACTATAGCAATTCTTAGAACCCAGACTTACACGAAATTACTGATCAAATCTACACTCATGCACATGATCTAAGCATGCTGTTATCCACATAGATCTGTCAAAGTATTTACACCTACTAGAAACATATCTAAACATATCAATGTAAATGTCAACAAAGATCAAATAAGTTACAATCATTCAGGTATCAGAGGGGTAACCGTGTTAGTCATTCAGGAGAAGTCACAAATCAAACAGTGTTTTTATAGTTAAATTTTAGTTTTAGAACAGCTTAAATTACAAACACTTAAGCTAGATAATAAGTGGCTGAGGGGATTTCAAAGTAGTTATAAAAGAATTAGAGACACCCCTGCAGGACGCACTGCATCACAAAGAAGCCACTAGATAGATACAACCACATCCCATTTTACTACTAATTAAGGGAGCAAATCTGTGGTCCAACTTTGTCAGAAAAGCATACAGAATGCTTTGGCTCCCACAGCTCAGTTACACTTGCACTGTGGTAGGTAAAACTTTTTTGGGGCAGGAGTGTGAAAAAACACACCAGATCAACCAAGTAAGTTTCAGCAACAAAAGCACTGGTATAGACAGTTCCATGTTGGCAGGAGATGCTTTCCCCGCCACTCGTGAGGGGTGGTTTAATTAAGAGGATGGGAGAACTGTCTCCTGTTGGCATACAGCAACTACATGGCTGCCTCTCGGGTCTGTAGTGTTCACGGAGTTTAAATAGAAATCTTACACCTACAGTCCTACAAACAAAATTCCACATGCACAGAAGAATTGGAGTCACAGAACAAAAGTAAGATGAACCCCGCCCTTGTTAGCATACCTAAAAAACAGCCTCTGCACTTCTGGTTTGATCTCAACTAAAGCAGCAATGATCCTACTGCAACGCAATGGAGCAAAATCTAAAGCTGAATAAGTATTTAGAATGGATTAACACCAGTCCCAGATCTCAGCAACATTAACTAGGGATGTAACAGAATAACTGTTTACATGGTTAACCAATAAGCCTGAGTTTATTGGTTACCTAAATGGTTACACATGGGGCATTTATTTTACTCTGACAGATGTTTAACACAAGACATGTAGTTGATGATTTTTTTTACAGATGACTTTTGGATATCATAATGACTCTTAAGTAAAATATTGTATTGACTTCTGCAGGTGCACGTAACCGCTGACATTTCCAGTGGTTACACGGTTACCAAAATACCCACTTTTTAACATCCCTGCTATTAACCGCCAACCAAGGAAGGAAATGTCTCCCAGAATAACTGACATCAACAACCGTCAGGATGTGACATCAACCCCCAGAGCACGAATCGAGGGTTCTCAGCCAGGTCACCCGGAGGTCTTCGGGGGAACATCAACTCATCTAGGTACTTTCCTAGCTTGTCTGTAACTGGGCGGCAGCGGAGGGGTCCCACGGGGATTATTAACCGCCAACCAAGGAAGGAAATGTCTCCCAGAATAACTGACATCAACAACCGTCAGGATGTGACATCAACCCCCAGAGCACGAATCGAGGGTTCTCAGCCAGGTCACCCGGAGGTCTTCGGGGGAACATCAACTCATCTAGGTACTTTCCTAGCTTGTCTGTAACTGGGCGGCAGCGGAGGGGTCCCACGGGGATTCCCTGCTGTGACCCCTCCCTCTGGGGCACCTGGGACTGGCCCGGGGGCCGCACACAAAGCACTCGCCCAGTGCCCGGCCCCCGACAGGCGGGGCCGGTGCCACAGCCGCGGGGGGAGGGCGCTCGCGGGCACGGGGCTTGCCGGCGGGAGGAGACGCGGGGGCAGG